ATACTGCTGTACACTAACTATCCTCTTCAAGGCAGGCGAAATTGCTGACCTGGAGAGTGTACAAAGAACTTTCACGGCACATATAAGTACGATAAGGCACCTAAACTACTGGGAACAGTTGAAGGTCCTTGATCTGTATTCCTTAGAACGCAGGCGAGAGAGATACATAATATACACTTGGAAAATCCTAGGGGATTGGTACCAAACTTGCACACGAAAATCACTCCCTATGAAAGCAAAAGACTCGGCAGGAGATGCAACATTCATCCAATGAAAAGCAGAGGCGCCACGAGTACACTGACAGACAACACAATAAGTGTCCGGGGCCCAAGACTCTTTAACTGCCTCCCAGCATACATAAAGGGGATTACCAATAGACCCCTGGATGTCTTCAAGGCACTGGACAGGCACCTAAAGTCAGTACCTGACCAGCCGAGCTGTGGTTCGTACATCAGTTTGCGTGCTGCCAGCAGTAACAGCCTGGTTGATCGGACCATGATCCACCACTAGGCCTGGTATCAGACCGGGCCGCGGGGGCGTTGGCCCCCGAAACTCTCTCCAGGTATACGTGTAAAGATATGTATATTTCATTTCTGTTAATGTAAAAATTAATAATTTTGTACCAAAAGAACTTCAGAAAACTTACCTAACATTATAACAAGCGCAATTTAATATAGCCTAATCCAACTAAATATATTTTAGATAAGCTTACAATAATTTATTAATAAACAAACACAATGAAATATATTTTTTTTTCGTTAGGTTCAGAATTTTTGCGAAATTATTGCATACACAAATTTTCGCTTGCCTTATTCGGCAAGAAGAGCTTTGCTATTTAAACCAAAATATCAAGTTTTACCTATTCGGCACGACATTAATATTTTATATATATATATATATATAATAAAATATATAAAATATATATATATATATATATATTATATATATATTGTGTGAATCTGACATCATATGATAAATTACGGAAGCGCTTGGAATATCACTGTTTTTTTCACTATTTTACATATTGTGGTATCACCTGTTTACTGTGATCTTATTGCTTGTATATTGCATGGTCATGTTGAATTTTGTAAGTTACTCTGCAACATGAGCTAGCAAGTGTTGGCTGTTTTGTCTAACTACCAGTGTTGTAACAGCCTGCCTAACTACCAGTGTTGTAACAGCCTGCCTAACTACCAGTGTTGTAACAACCTGCCTAACTACCAGTGTTGTAACAGCCTGCCTAACTACCAGTGTTGTAACAAGCAGCCTAACTCCTTTTGAAAACAGCCTGCCAACTACCGGGTTTGTAACAAGCAGCCAAACTACCAGTTTTGAAAAGCCCCTAACTCCCCAGTGTTGTAACACTGCCTAAACCAGTTTTTAACACCCTGCCAACTACCAGTGTTGTAACAGCCTCCCTACCAGTGTTTAAAAAGCACCAACTACCAGTGTAACAGCCTGCCTAACTACCAGTGTTTAACAACAGCCTAACTCCCAAAGGTTGTAACGCCCCCCTAATACCAGTGTTTAAAAACAGCCTAACTACCAGTTTTGTAAAAAAACGCCTAACTACCAGGGTTGTAACAGCCCCCTAAAAACCAAATGTTGAAACACCTAATACCTTTTTGTAAAGCCAAACTACCATTTGTAACAAACAGCCTAACTACCAGGTTGAAAACAGCCTGCCACTACCAGTTTGTAACAAAAGCCGAACACCAATGTTGTAAACCTGCCTAACTACCATGTTGTAAAAAACACCAAAACTACCGTGTTGAACAAACACCTCCCTAATACCAATTTTGTAACCCTAACTACCAGTGTTGTAACAGCCAAACTACCAGTTTTTGTAAAAACAGCCAAAATACCAGTGTTGTTAACCCCCTGCCTAACTACCAGTGTTGTAACAGCCTAACTACCAGTGTTGTAACAGCCTGCCTAACTACCAGTGTTGTAACAGCCTGCCTAACTACCAGTGTTGTAACAGCCTGCCTAACTACCAGTTTTTAAAAAACAGCCAAATCCCCATGTTGTAAAAAAACCCCTAAACCATTTTAAACACCTGCCTAACTCCCAGGTTGTAACAGCCTGCCAAAACCCCAGTGTTTAACGCCTCCAAAACAAAAACCCATGTTGTAACAGCCGCCTAACTACCAGGTTTTGTAAAAAACCCCTCCTAACTCCCCAGTGTTGTAACACCCTGCCTAACTACCATGTTGTAACAGCCGCCAACTACCATGTTGAAAACAGCCGCCTAACTACCAGTGTTTTTAACAGCCTCCCTAACTACCGTGTTGTAACAAACAGCCTAACTACCAGTGTTTTTTAAAGCCTCCTAGCTCCCGTGTTGTAACAAACAGCCTAACTACCAGTTTTTAAAAACAGCCTAACTACCAGTGTTGTAAAAAACACCCAAAACCCCAGTTTTTTAACGCCTCCTAACTCCCATGTTGTAACACCCGCCAAACTATCATTTTGAAACACCCCCCTAACTCCCAAGTGTTTAACAGCCTCCTAACTACCAGTGTTGTAACACCTGCCTAACTACCAGTGTTGTAACAGCCTGCCTAACTACCAGTGTTGTAACAGCCTGCCTAACTACCAGTGTTGTAACAGCCTGCCTAACTACCAGTGTTGTAACAGCCTGCCTAACTACCAGTGTTGTAACAGCCTGCCTAACACCTTTTGTAACCCCTGCCTAATCCCATGTTGAACAGCCTGCCTAACCATTTTTGAACAGCCTGCCAAACCAGTGTTGTAACAGCCCCAACTACCTGTTGAAAAGCCCCCTAACTACCAGTTTTTGGTAACAGCCTGCCTACCATTTTTGTAACACCCGCTAACTACCATGTTGTAACAGCCTGCCTAACTACCTTTTGTAACAGCCTAACTACCAGTGTTGAAAAGCCTGCCTAAAAACCCTGGAAAATCTACACGGGCTACTTGACATTTAAATAACTGCGAGTCCCTTTTTAAATGTTGTCGCATGTGTGTCCGCTGCTTTGTGTACCGACTTTTTTGTACTCATTCATTGCGTTGCAGTGTCGAATCGCAGCTCTGGCCCCACCTCTTCGCGGGGTCACTACTAGGTCCCTCTCCCCTGCTTCAGACCCTTACTACCTCTCCAAAAGCTTTTTTGGGATTCTGCCTCTTCAATCCTCCCCATATTGTTCCATTTCCTGACAACCTAGTGCAGAATATTCTTCCTAACATCCCTTGACTCTCTGTTTTTTTTTCAAATTCCATTGGGGCCGCTTTTTGGCCCCATCCTGGAACATTCTGTCCCTGCCCACCCCGTTAATTCCCTCAGTATTTTAAACGCTCTCCTTAAACGCTGCTCATAGACATACCCCTGCTCCGGAACTAGTATTGTTTCAAAACCCTTTTCACTTTTTCTAATTTTTTTGACACGTTTGACCAGGGGTGGGTTCCTTCGGGCTGCATACTCCGGTAGGACCTCGTCACTTTAACGAAATTTTTGAATGATCCTTTGACGCAGAAACGCATTGTTAGGTTTGCTCGGCGCCCATACCGCAGCATTTTTTTGGTTTGTGCGCCTCAGGGATGTCTCGTTGATGCCACCCCCCAAATCCTTTTTCCCCGAGTGAGGTTTCACTTTTGACCCACAAAAATTTTACTCAGTTTGCGGGCTTTTTTTGTCCTTCCCAAGCTTCAGTTTTGCCCTTTGGGGGGAGTTAAACTCCCGGGGCCTTTTTGGGGCCAGGGTTGCAGCCTGTCCAGATCCCTTTGTAGTCTCACCTGGTCTGCGTCAGCTTGCATTCTCCGCATTACCTTCTTATCTACAAACAGGGTCTGATATTTGAGTGTCTACCTCACAATGCTGATGTAGGCTGGTGTTCAGTGTTGTAGTCGCAACCGTGAAAACCTGAGAACACTGATTGGTGAGAACACTGATGATTGGTGAGAACACTGATGACTGGTGAGAACACTGATGGCTAGTGAGAACACTGATGGCTAGTGAGAACACTGATGACTGGTGAGAACACTGATGGCTAGTGAGAACACTGATGGCTAGTGAGAACACTGATGACTGGTGAGAACACTGATGGCTAGTGAGAACACTGATGGCTAGTGAGAACCTGATGGCTAGTGAGAACACTGATGACGGTGAGAACATGATGGCTAGTGAGAACACTGATGGTAGTGAGGGAAACACTGATGACTGGTGAGAACACTGATGATTGGTGAGAACACTGATGATTGGTGAGAACACTGATGACTGGTGAGAACACTGATGGCTAGTGAGAACACTGATGACTGGTGAGAACACTGATGGCTAGTGAGAACACTGATGGCTAGTGAGAACACTGATGGCTAGTGAGAACACTGATGACTGGTGAGAACACTGATGACTGGTGAGAACACTGATGACTGGTGAGAACACTGATGATTGGTGAGAACACTGATGACTGGTGAGAACACTGATGGCTAGTGAGAACACTGATGATTGGTGAGAACACTGATGACTGGTGAGAACACTGATGACTGGTGAGAACACTGATGACTGGTGAGAACACTGATGACTGGTGAGAACACTGATGACTGGTGAGAACACTGTGATGGTGAGAACACTGTTTGACTGGTGAGAACACTGATGGCTAGTGAGAACACTGATGATGGTGAAAACCCCACTGTTTGGTGAGAACACTGATGACTGGTGAAAAACACTGATGACTGAGGGGAGAACATGAAAACGGGTTGGAAACACTGATGGCTAGCGAGAAACACTAAATGACGGGTGAGAACACGATAAACTGGTGGAAACACTGATGACTGGTGAGAACACTGATGACGGGTTTGAGAACATTTGATGACTGGTGAGAACACTGATGACTGGTGAGAACACTGATGACTGGTGAAAAACACTGATGACTGGTGAGAACATGATGGCTAGGGGAGAACACTGATGACTGGTGAGAACACTGATAAACGGGTGAGAAACACTGATGACTGGTGAGAACACTGATGACTGGTGGAACACGATGATTGGTGAGAACACTGATGGACTGGTGAGAACCACTGATGCTAGTGAGAACACTGTTTGACTGGTGAGAACACTGATGGCTAGTGAGAACACTGATGACTGGTGAGAACACTGATGACTGGTGAGAACACTGATGATTGGTGAGAACACTGATGACTGGTGAGAACATGTGACTGGTGAGAACACTGATGTCTTAGAAAATGAGAGCGTGCCGCAGAGTAGGTCATTAAGAGGCCACAAGATGACCTGTGACCTGCACAGGTGTGTGACCTGCGTGACCTGCGCCGAGCCTCTCACTTGTGAGGCAGCAAGTAGTACTACCCTTGACCTGCTGTCACACCAGCTGGCAAACACCACAACATTCTCCCTTCCACAGTGTGTGTATGTGTGTGTGTATAGCACAAACAGTGCCAGCAAACATGAGTGACAGTCATGAACCTTGAGAGAGACTGGTTCACAACACGTTTTAACCCGTATGAGAGACCCATTGACCCAGGTGCCACGAGTCCATTCACCCTGGTGCCTGAGTTGAGAACCAGCAACGAACAAAGAATATACGAGTTAGGTTCAGACCTTACGTCACTGGAGGAACGATGGTGGATATGATCACAACTACAAGATACTCCAGGGTATAGACTAGATACCATGGTTCATAATTCCACACCCAGATCATCCATAGGAATCTGAGGTAACCTCCAAGAAAAGAGCAGTAAGTGGAAGTGGAAGATAACTACATTAAAAATTTAAGAGGGTGGACCAAGAGGGTGAGCTCGCTCCCTGCAATCTGAGAGGCATACACACACACACACACACACACACACACACACACACACACACACACACACACACACACACACACACACACACACACAAGGCGGGGCCAGGAGCTGTGTCTCGACCCCTGCAACCACAATTAGGTAAGTACACACTATATTCAGCAATGGAAATCTGTCTCAATTAGTAGAAACTTGTGTCGTTGGCATAGATCAGAGGATGAAGAGTGTGTTGGGTTGGCTGCAGATTCCTTGACAGCCAGAAGGCACTTGACAGGAACAGTGAACGAACTTAGAGGACACACTACAGTAACATGAACAATAAACAATGGTTACAGAACACTGAAATCATACATAACGTTCCCTTGACAAGCCGCTACCTCTTAACAGACTGTCCTGTCTATCAGCGGACACGCAGAGGTTACCTCAGGCGACGTCACCGCCCTAACACACTGTACCTGACCTCCTCGCTGACAGACTCACCTTTGATACAGACTTCCTCTTCAACTTTCTGTCAGCAACTGTTTTATTCCGTCAACTCTGGTTATGTTTTCCCTTCATCTCTCCTCACCATCCTTACTGACTCTTGTCTCTTGCATACTCACCCCCAGTTCTCTCTGATCTTCACATATTTCATCATTAACACATCCCACCCTGCAACGCTGTATGACCCTTGTGGGTTTAGCGCTTTCTTTGAATTATTATAATTTAAGAAGTGCTGTATCTGTTATAAGTTAATTGTTCCGGAGTAGCGCTTCATTTGACAGTGGATCTGCTCTTGCTCTCTGACCAGCTCTGACTGGCGCTGCTCTGACCACTCGGGTACCTGACTCTGGTCGCCTGCTCTCTGACCAGCTCGGGGTACCTGACTCTGGTCGCCTGCTCTCTGACCAGCTCGGGGTACCTGACTCTGGTCGCCTGCTCTCTGACCAGCTCGGGGTACCTGACTTCACCTTACCAAACAGACTAAGTAAATGCAATAGTAATTATGGTCAAGGTAAATATGGAAAAATGAACAAGTTGTTAGAAGACGGAGGAACTTAGGTGCCTCTTAATGTAGCATGAAAGTCTCATAGATGCCTAAGTTTCGCTCATGTAGGAACTTACAGGTTAATTAACGAACAAAGGCACAATACCGTGACTGGAACAATACACAAATAATTCGCACATACAAGAGAGAAGTTTACTACGACGTTTTGGTCGTGTGACTTTGTAAGTGGTCTAAGATGGACCGAAACGTCGTCGTAAACTCTTCTATATGCGGGTTATTTTTGTACGAGTTAATTAACTTCAACCTGCGTGAGCGAAAAGTGATGATTTATAAAGTTGCCATCATGAATCAGTTTGTTTGAGTTTATTCTACTTATAAGTTCATTCTGTCGAGGACGTCACTTGTATCATGATAAGTTGTATTGTGTGTTTATGTAGGTCTGATTATTATTGATAATGTACATGTACTGAGTGTCTGGTGTGTGTGTACAGGTAACGTGGACATCGTCAACGGTAACCTGAAGCTGATCCTGGGACTCATCTGGTCGCTGATCATGCACTACCAGATCGGTCAGTCCAAGTTCCCACCCAAGAAACTTATGCTCGCCTGGCTCAAGGTGAGTCACCCTGTGTGTCTTCAAGTATGGTGTGTGTGTGTTGTGTGTGTGTGTGTGTGTGTGTGTGTGTGTGTGTGTGTGTGTGTGTGTGTGTGTGTGTGTGTGTGTACTCATCTCACCTAGTTGTACTCACCTAGTTGAGGTTGCAGGGGTCGAGTCCTAGCTCCTGGCCCCGCCTCTTCACTGGTTGCTACTAGGTCACTCTCCCTGAACTGTAAGCTTTATCATACCTCTGCTTAAAGCTATGTATGGATCCTGCCTCCACTACATCGCTTCCCAAACTGTTCCACGTCCTGACTACTCTGTGGCTGAAGAAATACTTCCTAACATCCATATGATTCATCCGTGTCTTCAACTTCCAACTGTGTCCCCTTGTTGCTGTGTCCAATCTCTGGAACATTCTGTCTCTGTCCACCTTGTCAATTCCTCTCAGTATTTTGTATGTCGTTATCATGTCCCCCCTATCTCTCCTGTCCTCCAGTGTCGTCAGGTTGATTTCCCTTAACCTCTCCTCGTAGGACATACCCCATAGCTCTGGGACTAGTCTTGTTGCAAACCTTTGCACTTTCTCTAGTTTCTTTACGTGCTTGGCTAGGTGTGGGTTCCAAACTGGTGCCGCATACTCCAATATGGGCCTAACGTACACGGTGTACAGGGTCCTGAACGATTCCTTATTAAGATGTCGGAATGCTGTTCTGAGGTTTGCTAGGCGCCCATATGCTGCAGCAGTTATTTGGTTGATGTGCGCTTCAGGAGATGTGCCTGGTGTTATACTCACCCCAAGATCTTTTTCCTTGAGTGAAGTTTGTAGTCTCTGACCCCCTAGACTGTACTCCGTCTGCGGTCTTCTTTGCCCTTCCCCAATCTTCATGACTTTGCACTTGGTGGGGTTGAACTCCAGTAGCCAATTGCTGGACCAGGTCTGCAGCCTGTCCAGATCCCTTTGTAGTTCTGCCTGGTCTTCGATCGAATGAATTCTTCTTATTAACTTCATGTCATCTGTGTGTGTGTGTGTGTGTGTGTGTGTGTGTGTGTGTGTGTGTGCGCGCATGCGTGTGTGTGTGTGTGTGTGTGTGTATTTGTAAGTATATCTAGGCTACTATATTTACATTGCGTGTAGGTTTAAGTTTGTCTTCCCTACTTCAAGTTTTCCCACCAAGGTACGTAGTTAGTGTTGACATGCTTCAGTTTCATGAAAGTGCTTTCAGAGTTGCTGCTATGGTGTGATTTTTTTTTTTTTGGGTGGGGGGACGGAGGTTTCTTGGTATACTGGCAGAGGCCAGGAAAATGACAGTATAGATTATAGGAAGTTTTAAAACAAGAAAAGTAGCGCCAGTGATGATACTTTTCCAACCATTTGTGTTGCCACGACTTGAATATTGTTGTGGTGTCAGTACCTTTCACGACATGAGACTGCAGAGCTGCAACAAGTGTAAACGTCGTATACTAGTCGCTTAGTCAATAAAGCGTAGAAACTGTTGTAATGCCCAAAAATTAATGGGGAGAATAAAACGCAGTGAGGACGTGGAAAGCTGCAGATAGACCTGACCAAAATGAAAGATTACTCAGACAAGTGTCTCCTTAAATTTAACTCTAACAAGTGTCAGGTTATGAAATGAGTGATGGGTAAATATGTGATGGGTAAATATGTGATGGGTAAATATGTGATGGGTAAATATGTGATGGGTAAATATGGGCAGCAGTTACTCACCAGACAGGTTGCAAACCACACTTAATAGTAATAATTAATAATAATATCTTGATTTCTACAAGTACATGTACAAGGTATACAGTCCTAGCTGACATCAATGACATACTACTATAATAATTGATAAATTAGACACATGTGCAACATGTCGGTTCTCTGAACCATTCATCTACAAAGACATACTACTATATAGAAACCCGCTGGTTATGCTGAGCATTTCGGGCAAATTAGGTCAGTTTTGTCCCAGGATGCGACCCACACCAGTCCAATAACAACTAGGTACCCATTTTACTGATGGATGAACGTAGACAACCAGTGTAAAGAAACACGTCCAATGTTTCTACCCTCGCTGGGAATCGAACCCAGACACTCGCCGTGTGAAGCGAAAGCTTTAGCCACCAGGCCACGGGACCTTGGGGTGAGCATGATGCTAAGCATATCTCCAGAGGCACACGTCAACTGAATTACCTCTACGATGAAATCTGACTAAAGAATCATTCAGGCTTTTGTACACGACAGGTGTTAGCCATGTAATATAATAATGGTGTATTATACTGAGAAGTTGATAAGACACATGTGCGACAGTTAGATATCTTTATTCCGAAACGTTTCGTCTACACAGTAGGCTTCTTCGGTCGAGTACAGAGGCAGCAGAAGCTGTAGAGATGTAAAGACGATGTAATCAAACCATCACCTCCGGAAGACGGAGTTATGAGGTGGTCAGTCCCTTCAGCCTGGAGAAAAGTTCTGCTCCATAGTCAGGAACAGTGTGAAGCTGAAACAACAGTATGGAGACTTGTATACTGTCAGAGGTGAGGCGCAGATAATGTCGACGACAGGACAGGCGGAGCCACACCATACACAACTCTCTATACAGTGAAGATTCTGTCAGGGATAAAAGCAGGGTAAGTCATACTGTATCAACACATCTCCTATCAACAGCGAGATGTTAGACACTCAGGTTGTACAGCGAGGCCCAGGAGCTATAACCACAGCGCCCCTGGAGGTGTCAGCAGTGATAATCACAGCACCCCGGGCCACCGCAGTGAGATCACACAGCATATCTGCTCGGGAAAATGGTATTTCGAGCTGGACCCTGTGTTCAGTACTAGGAGACTCCGTGTTCAGTACCGGGGGACTTCGTGTTCGGTACCGGGAGACTGCGTGTTCTGTACCGGGGGACTCCGTGTTCAGTATCGGGAGACTCCGTGTTCAGTATCGGGAGACTCCGTGTTCAGTACCGGGAGACTTCGTGTTCAGTACCGGGAGACTCCGTGTTCAGTATCGGGAGACTCCGTGTTCAGTACCGGGAGACTTCGTGTTCAGTACCGGGAGACTCCGTGTTCAGTACCGGGGGACTTCGTGTTCAGTACCGGGAGACTCCCTGTTCAGTACCGGGGGACTTCGTGTTCAGTACCGGGAGACTCCGTGTTCAGTACCGGGGGACATCGTGTTCAGTACCGGGAGACTCCGTGTTCAGTACCGGGGGACTTCGTGTTCAGTACCGGGAGACTCCGTGTTCAGTACCGGGAGACTCCCTGTTCAGTACCGGGGGACTTCGTGTTCAGTACCGGGAGACTCCGTGTTCAGTACCGGGAGACTCCCTGTTCAGTACCGGGGGACTTCGTGTTCAGTACCGGGAGACTCCGTGTTCAGTACCGGGGGACTTCGTGTTCAGTACCGGGGGACTTCGTGTTCAGTACGTAGACCCTGTTCAGTACCGGGACTCCGTGTTCAGTACCGGGAGACTCCGTGTTCAGTACCGGGGGACTTCGTGTTCAGTACCGGGAGACTCCGTGTTCAGTACCGGGGGACTTCGTGTTCAGTACCGGGAGACTCCCTGTTCAGTACCGGGGGACTTCGTGTTCAGTACCGGGACCCGTGTTCAGTACCGGGGGACTTCGTGTTCAGTACCGGGAGACTCCGTGTTCAGTACCGGGGGACTTCGTGTTCAGTACCGGGAGACTCCCTGTTCAGTACCGGGGACTTCGTGTTCAGTACCGGGAGACTCCGTGTTCAGTACCGGGGGACTTCGTGTTCATCGAGAGATCCGTGTTCATACCGGGAGACTCCCTGTTCAGTACCGGGGGACTTCGTGTTCAGTACCGGGGGACTTCGTGTTCAGTACCGGGAGACTCCGTGTTCAGTACCGGGGGACTTCGTGTTCAGTACCGGGAGACTCCCTGTTCAGTACCGGGGACTTCGTGTTCAGTACCGGGAGACTCCGTGTTCATACCGTGGACTCGTGTCAGTACCGAGAACTCGTGTTCAGTACCGGGGGACTTCGTGTTCAGTACCGGGGACTTCGTGTTCAGTACCGGGAGACTCCGTAGTTCAGTACCGGGGACTTCGTGTTCAGTACCGGGAGACTCCGTGTTCAGTACCGGGAGACTCCGTGTTCAGTACCGGGGACTTCGTGTTCAGTACGGGGGACTCCGTGTTCAGTACCGGGAGACTCCGTGTTCAGTACCGGGGAGACTCCGTGTTCAGTACGGGAGGACTCCGTGTTCAGTACCGGGAGACTCCGTGTTCAGTACCGGGGAGACTCGTGTTCAGTACCGGAGACTTCGTGTTCAGTACCGGGGGACTCGTGTTCAGTACCGGGAGGACTCCGTGTTCAGTACCGGGGACTCCGTGTTCAGTACCGGGAGACTCCGTGTTCAGTACCGGGAGACTCCGTGTTCAGTACCGGGGGACTCCGTGTTCAGTACCGGGGGACTTCGTGTTCAGTACCGGGAGACTTCGTGTTCAGTACCGGGAGACTCCGTGTTCAGTACCGGGGGACTTCGTGTTCAGTACCGGGAGACTCCGTGTTCAGTACCGGGAGACTCCGTGTTCAGTACCGGGGACTTCGTGTTCAGTACGGGGAGACTCCGTGTTCAGTACCGGGAGACTCCGTGTTCAGTACCGGGGGACTTCGTGTTCAGTACCGGGAGACTTCGTGTTCAGTACCGGGAGACTCCGTGTTCAGTACCGGGAGACTCCGTGTTCAGTACCGGGGGACTTCGTGTTCAGTACCGGGAGACTCCGTGTTCAGTACCGGGAGACTTCGTGTTCAGTACCGGGAGACTCCGTGTTCAGTACCGGGAGACTCCGTGTTCAGTACCGGGAGACTCCGTGTTCAGTACCGGGAGACTCCGTGTTCAGTACCGGGAGACTCCGTGTTCAGTACCGGGAGACTCCGTGTTCAGTACCGGGAGACTCCGTGTTCAGGAAAGTGACGTACAACAGTAAATTAGTGAAGGAAAGAGGTGTTGCAGAACAAACTTTGATTATGTTCAGTGTTCTTTTG